GTCAGACGCCGAAGGTATCCAGGGGGACGGCGGGTGGGGGGGGTGGGGAAGCCACCGCGGACCCCCCATCGCGACGCTGTTCAAGAGCGAATTCGACCTCCTCGCGCCCTCCGCGAGGGCCTCCCCGGCGTCCGGGATTCCTCCGCCACCGCAGCCTGGGAATGGCAACGGCATCGGCGGGGGCGGCTACGACCGCCGGCCAAGCTACGGCGGGTATGGCGAGCCTCTGGGTTACGGCAATGGCAACCACGGCGAGCCTCTGAGCTACGGGTATGAAGGCTATTATGGAGACCCGGTTAACTACGGGAATAACGGCTATGGCGGCTACGGTGAGCCTCTGAGTTACCGGAATGAAAGCTATTATGGCGATCCCATGAGTTACGGGGGGAATGGCGGCTACTACTACCCCTACCCGCCGCAGGGGGTCTACCGCACCCCACCGAGCCTCTGCATTCCGTCGGTGATCAACATCGGGCGTCAGAAGGCCGTCGGCGGAGGAGGGGTCTGTCCAAGATGCTCAAGAGAAAGTGGCTGGGGAAAAGGAGCAGAGGAGGTCCTCGTCTTGATGCGGGCGAACTCCTCTAGTGATGGGAACTCTCCACCACGATGCTCGCCGCTGCCGACGGCGCGGCCGCCGCATTCCACCACAGGGCGGTGAGGTCACACAAGAAAGAAAATACAACAACAAAAAAGGCCTCACCCGTTGGGGAGGAATTTGCCTTGAGCTCGGGGTCGTGAAGGAATCAAACAAGTTTTTTTTTAATATATAAAATCACAAAAAGAAATGTAGGGAGACTGGTCAGAACGACTTCTCCCCCGTGCGGCTCTCGATGGCAACAAGGCGGGTGAGAATGAGAATACGACGGGCAAATACCGTGTGCTCTTTTTAGAAGAGCGTGTGTAAGAATACAGGGAATCTGTTGGTAGCAATGTGGTAAAGGTGTGTTTGCTTGTAAGATCAAAGGAATTTTATCTGTGGTGGTAAATAGAGTTCGCTGACGGCGATGTTTGTTGTACCACTACACCCTAATATCTAATTGAGTGAAGAAAAACGTGTCGTGATACA